TAATAAACATTATGAATTTTCATTAACTAAAGGGATTGGAATATAGTGATTAAAATAGGAGAAGTTTAAGAATGGAAGAAGTAGTCTAGGAATGAACTTGTTAATTGGTTCAACATGCTGTCAGTCAGTAAGCTACAACATGAGACCAGGCATATATATGCATCAGTCCAACTTTCCTTACCTCATTATCACAACAAAATGAAGATGAAGATGAATACCGAATTCATAGAAGTACTTAATTCAATGGTGGTAATATATAGAAGAAAGATTGCATATAAGGATATAATACAGGAAGAAAGAATCAGTTCGTAGAAGGAAAGATATGAAGCGACTTTAATCTCTTACTTTAAAGGAAGACAGAGAGTGTATACACCTACGCCATTGTGATCGATTTTGAGCCATATCAGCTAGAGTCTCCAACCACTGATGGTTACGATAGTCACGTGGACCCCAACCAAGTAGTCTGCATCTACCAACATGGCTAAGACTAGAAGTTAGTGACATCAATTACTGATGCCACGTTTTGATTAGTTCAACATACTACTGACTACTCATTGTATTCTACTCAACAGGTGCATACTTTCTAGTTAAATAGCATGCCACGAAACCTCGGTCATTATTACACGTACATATTCCCTTATTTGTCTTTTTGTATACATTCAACCTTCATATCATTTCATACAAATACTAATACAATTACATTCACTCGATATTGTTTTACTTGAATCATCCCATTGATGTTTAAGACTGCAACGGATCAATCTCTTGTTGATATATTATACGTATTGCCTCAATACTGCCAATAAGAGATTGGAATGAAATAAGTCAAGTAGTACAATACCAAGTGAATTTAAACTTCACCCTATTACACAAGCAAATGTTTATTAGGATTCAGTAGATAAGAGAATAATGCAATGACGTATAAAGCCAAATGGTATCGAATTTAACTCCCAGAGTGAATTTCAACTCCTAAATACAAGTACATTCGGTCAACAAGTTTTGAATAGGACGAAACATACATTCTGGTTTTCACTAACAACCATTATTTATCTTTACTATGTCTATTTTGAGCATCATTATTCTTCACTAACTAACTAACTAACTAACTAACTAACTAACTAACTAACTAACTAACTAACTAACTAACTAACTAACTAACTAACTAACTTACTAACTAACTTGCTAACTAACTAACTAACTAACTTACTAACTTACTAACTAACTAACTAACTAACTAACTTACTTACTAACTAACTAACTAACTAACTTACTAACTAACTAACTAACTAACTAACTAACTAACTTACTTACTTACTAACTAACTAACTAACTAACTAACTAACTAACTTACTTACTTACTAACTAACTTACTAACTAACTAACTAACTAACTAACTAACTAACTTACTAACTAACTCATTGATCATTGAATAACTATCGAATCAAAGTTTACTTTATTCTTTTCTTAAATTAACAGAAGATAACATCTTAATGACCATAGAAATAAATCATTCAATTCTAACAATTAATATAAATATTTACATATAACCATAACATTTACACATTGTAGGTCAAACTGCTCTCTCTCTCTCTCTTATAATTACTGAGTTATTGTAGATTAAAATATTCAATCTTAAGTCTTAGTGATTATTCGATTATAGTATCACGTATAACTGTGACCAAGGCTAAGTGTTGTTACTACTATTGATGATGATGATGATGATGATGATAATGATAATGATAATGAGTCACCATATAATGCAGGTAGTATTGAAAGTTCAACAAAACTATTAAAGAATAAATATATTAATTAATATAAGGTTGTAGAGATCATGAATCGATGAATATTAAACAATCATTAAGAACTTGAAAGTACTAGATGGATGTTTCGTCCTAGTGTTGAACGACTTCAACAATATACATTTATGATTCTATATTTAAGAACTTTGATTTAAACATGAGAATGTTTAACTTCTAAACTACTGAGTTGATGTTAATAATGTATACATTTAATTGATTTATGATTTTATGTAACTATTCATTTATACTTATCTTTATCGAATATGAATTCACTCTATTGGTCATGACTTTTCATTAGAATTTTTAAGTATTATCTCTCACAAAATCAATCATTCATGAGTACATACTGACGAGTCCTATATTAGGACAAAACAGTCATTCAGTGATTGCTGATTTTCAATCGTAGTTAGTTAAACCTGAAATTTTTATAACTAAAAGGTATATTTGTTATATGATATTAATAAGTATCATTGAATTCTTTTAAATTCATAAGCTGTTTTATTATCCTATATTCATACATATCATGGATGCCCACTGCCAAGGAGGAGTCCCACAATAGAACGAAACGGCCATCCAGTGATTCCAATGATGGTCGAACATTAATCGGTTCATGATCTCAATCAAAAAATTAATAATCTCTACAACCTTTATACTGATATCTACATATATCAACACTGGTTATTGATTTTAGACAGTATCTGTGGATCAGGTAGTTTATATTTTATACTATTTTTGAATAATTCATAATTCACTTGGTATTATTTGCCTTATATCTTCTCATTGAGGTTTAAGACTGTAATTGATCAGTCTGTTATTGGCATATGTGCATACTGTGCGTATGCCTCAATATTGCTTTAATTCACATTGGCTATCAGGACTCAGTCGCTAAGTGGATAACACGATGACGTTTGAAGCGAATGATACTGGGTTCGAGTCTAAGAGTGAACATCAACTCTGAGATGCAGGTATATCCAGCTGACGAGTCCCAAATAGGACGAAGTACACGTCCTGCATTCCACTGCTAACCACTATCCATCATTACTTACTACAAAATCCATAATTCATTTTATAGATCTAGTTCATTCTGTGATGTTTAATGTTTGTTTGGACTGATCTGTAATTATAATGAATAGGATTAAAATAGGGTTTCAGAGTATATAGAGAAATACACAATAGTTTACCTGGACTTGTTCAAATAACAAATAAAACCTAATTGAAACTATATTTTACTTCGTAAATCTAAAGCGATAAACTATAATATCTACTCTAATCATAGCTATATAGAGATTACAGAAGTAGTGGAAGTAATCTTCTTCATGGATCAAGATCAATCAAAGAGTTAGTAAAGATGAAAGACATTTCATTTGTTTGTGATCAAATTGTTGAAGGGAAGTCAAAACTACTCATGATATAGTGTGTGTTTATTGCACTTGAAAGATTTGACGAAACTTTATGGGGGTGGGATTTAAAAGAAATACATCAGATTCATCAAGATTATAGCTATATGTCTTATTGATAAGGGTCAATCAACATAGTTTCCTGATCAGTATATTTAACCGTTTATTACATCTTGAAGTAAAGTTTAACATATATTGTAATTCAGTTTTCCACTATGGAATGCCATAAAATTATTCAATGAATTGTCCGAGTAGACAGAAAATAATCAATTATTTTCGATGAAAGTTTAGCATGAGAATAAAATTTTTAAAGCTGAAATCCATTGCATAGTCAGTCAGTCAGTCAGTTACAACGTAGGACCAGGCGTATATATGCATCGATTCAAGTTGTCATACCTCATTAGCACAACAAGATGAACACCGGATTCCTAGAAGTAGTCAATTCAGTGGTGGTAATATATAGAAGAAAGAGTGTGTATAACGAGATAGTACAGGAAGATAGAATTAGTTCGTAGAAAGAAAGACATGAATCGATTTTAATCTCTTAGTTTATAGGAAAACAGAGAGTGTATACACCGACACCATTGTGATCGATTCTGATCCATGTCACCAAGAGTCTCCAACCACTGATGGTTACGATAGTCACGCGGCCCTCAATTAAGTAATCTGCATCTACCAACATGGCTCAGACCAGAAGTTAGTGACTTTAAGCACTGATGTCACGTTTTGGTTTGGCCTCCTCTAAATTTCTTCCAATTATTCCTAACACCGGTTAGCATTGCGCGTCGTGGTAATCGGTGATGGATTCTAAGCTATGTCACATAACAACACAAACCATAGAATATTAACTGATTATTTGTTATTTTCATAAAATAATTCATGTTTAACTTCTGGATAAAGATCAAATCCAAGAAATGTATTGCAAATACATTATCATCTTAAATCAATGTATGAAATTCATTCTTAATTATATACTGATTAATTTAGAAAAACAAAAAAAAGAACAAAAACAAACAATCAGAATCTTTAACAGTAACTTTAATTGATGTAACTCTTCACTTACATGTAAGGTTAATTATGTAGACACTAATTATCATAGCGACTAGATGCGTGGAGGTGGGTTTGTGGATAGATGGATGGACGGATGGATGAAGTAATATTTGGTGCCCATATTTCTCTTTATTATTTAGAAAAGAGTAAGAATAAAGATTCTAACAAAAAAAATAACATAAATTCATTTGATATCTTGTTGGTTCTTGTCAACTGTTGACAATATGAAGACATATTAGACAATTGCTATAATAATAGGTATTCAATATAACTTTCAACTAAACACTTTCATATTGTGAGATGATGGAGAAAATTTGTAGCTCAGGTGGATGATTTTGATAGAGTTTTGTTCTCTGAACTCAATGGTTTGGTCGTGGAGCTTTCATTGTTCTTCTGAACGATAGAAATCTATCTAAAGTTTATGCTGATGATGTCATTCAGAAGAATAATGAAAGCTCCACGATCAAACTATCCAGTTCAATGAACAAAACTCCATTAAAAACTTTCATATTTTAAACAGATGACAAGAATCAACGAAGTGAAACGATCCTTTATTCTTATTCTTTTCAAAAAGAATTAACATTTAGAAAAACGACCAAATGAGACAGATTATATAATACTGTAAAATATATGAGTTATACATATTACTATCATACTATATTTTACATATATATATATATATATATATATATATATATATATATATATATATATATATGTTTCAGTAATACAATTGATTATATAAATAACTAACCATTTAAAGTAATTTTTTGTCCTGGTGCATATTTTATTGCCATAGCAATTAATGCAATATAAGAATATGGTGGTTTCGATGGGAATAAACATGAATTATTATTATTATTATTCACTGGTAGATTTCTCATTATACGATTCATATTCCCTTCAATGGATTGTGATTCTATATTCAATATTGAATGATTATTATTATTATTACAATGATGATGATGATGATGAACAGGTTCATGATTAATCATGTGATCAATATCATTATTATCATTATCATTATAATCATCATTATTTAATGTATATATATTAGACCAATCTTGATTATTATTATTATTATTAGTAGTAGTAGTAGTATTAGTATTTATATTTATTGAATATTGATTAATTAATTGATTATAAATAATTGATAAATCATCATTTATATATGATTTAGATAATGTAATATAATTTAATAAATTTTTTAAAATAATTAATTTATATTGTTCATTGAATAGATTCCAATTTGATATAATAAATTGAATAAAATCAATATTATTTTGAGAATAATTTTGTTTATTATAATAATTAATAATATGATGTAATAATTGTAATGATAATTCATTAGATAATAAATGATGATGATCATGATGATTATCATTATTATCTGTTATTGATTTATGATTTATATGTATATGTTTAATTGATTGTTCTTCATTCATTATTGATTATTGATTATGATTATTATCAATAATGATATTGATTTTTTTATTTATCTGATTATGTAATCAATTAGGTTCTAGTTTACTTTTGATTAGATATATCATTTACATAAAAATTGTTGATATACATATATATTCTTTTTTCATTTAAGTCAAATAATATATACCGCGAAAAATTTCTTTTTAATTTTTATTAACCAATCAAATTAGATAAAGAATTATTTATTATGAATTGACCAATAGGATTTTCGAATGTATTTAACTAATTTAACCAATCAGAATGATGGTATATATATATATATACAGATGAGAAATTATCTTGATGATAAAAAAATAATTTAGAGGTTGTTTTTTTTAATTGAGATCATGAACCGATTGATGTGAGACTACCATTGAAAACCTGGAAGCACTGGATAGCCGTTTTGTCCTAATGTGAGACACTTCCTTGGCAGTGGGTACCCACGGTCCTGCTTGTGGGATTCGAACCCAGTGCCTATAGTTTTGCATGCCAACCCATAAACTACTGGACCACTAAGCCGTCATCCAATGGTGTTAATGCAGTAATTATAATAGTTGAATTCATTGAATTGATTAAATTTGGACTATTATTAAAAATTTGGAAAACGTAGATGGACGTTTCGTCCTAATATGGGGTTGGTGGGCAATGTGAATTTATGATCTTGCACCTGTGATTCGAACCCAGGATCATCAGTCTCTCGCATGGATTTGCACTGCTGAAGTGTTCTATACTAGGACGAAACGGCTGTTCAGTTGTTTTCAGGTTTTTCATGATAATCTAGCTTTAATCAATTCATGAATTCAACTATTATATAAAGAAAGAGATGTGTTTTTCTGATATTTGTATAAGTTGAAGGTTGCTTTATAATATAAAATTCTTTTCTATTAAATAAGTAAAAGAGAATTCAGTGAAGAAACTTCTCTTTTCGACAAAATCATTTACTTAAGCTGTACATTCGTAGTTATAGCTGTTTGGTAAATATATTTGTCTATAGAAAGATAGAAAAGATTACATCATAAATTGATTCGAGACTCTTATTATCCAATGAGGTTACACAATAATCAAGAGGTAAAAGGAGAATATAGGGATGGCTGTTGTAATCAATATGTAAACACAATATCTACAATTAGTCGATTACTCACAAAAGAGCATAAATCTCAATTATTTGATATTTGGAGAGTGCAACAATTGTCTTTATGGATCATATTAATTATCTGATCCTGTCTAGTTTTCCAAAGTAACCATTCAAAAAGATGCAATTGAGAAAACGTAACAGATGTTAATTAAAATCCTAAGGAAGATGAGTTTACTACTATTAATTGTCACCTGTATAAACATCTTAAATCATCGAGTTCAGTTACACGAAGACTACATAGACCCCCAAAAGTTCATAAGAATGTCCTTTTACGTTCTATATTTGATATAACTCTACATATCACTGAATGGTTTAGGCCTTTGATTCCTCTAGTAGAAAAGTCCTAACGTATATATCACAGATTAATAATAAATTGTCAGATATCTGCCCTTACATACCTAGTGTACCAAAGATGATGTTGTGGCGTTTGAACTAATGATCACATGTCAACTACACTGCTAGGATTCGATCATCTTATTTGAAGATGGTGGAACACTCCCCGAATCCCAAATTCTTTGAAACAACTTCGTTAGATTTCTGATTGAAAAGGACAGGTAGTTATTAGCTTTGCAAGCAGAAGTTTCTTAATGATCAGATGGATTGATAATAATTTGTTAGGAAGCACAGGTCAGTCTAATAGACTTTTCTATGGGAACAGGTCAGATAAACCACCCATCCAAACGCTCTGCTCAGAGGTGAAAACTCTTCTTTAACTGACAAAATGGTACGTCATTAAGTTCATAAACTGATTCACTGTTATCAGTGCCTTAAATGACCTGAAACATCTTCCAGCAGATACTAGATGCATGGTCTGGTTAGGTTACCCTGAGCAAGTTTTAGAGAATCTTACAAATTATGTACCTACATGTATCATCTAACCTGTCTTATTGCTTGGGTAGATTAAATTGCTTCAAGAACATGTAGAGAGCATATAAATTCATACTCAATGCATAGATTTTAGACGGTTTGCGTCAGTACAATTTCTACTTAATGGTACACAGATTGGATTGTTCAATTCTATAAAAGAGACAATTACATTTATCCACGAAAAGTCGTAAGTACAATAGTCAAATCAGGTCATTCGATAGTTAAGATTACAATTGATTTAATGACATTAAGTTTCGCTAAGGGATGAGAAGTGATTAAAGATATTACTGTTGTATTCATAGCTTCGGTTTCTTAATCCAGATGGTTACTACTTCAGCCGTTCTAAGGACTTTAAGTTATGCCTAAAAGTGCAATAATATTAATATGAGAAAACAAATTGAAAAATTATAAATCTGTAAACCGCAAATACACCGATCTTTAGTATTTAGTTACGCGGCCATAAAACACAAGCAAAAGTTTCCCTTCGGACAAGTAACTCGAGACAAAATTATAGCAAATATAGTAAATTAAAAAATATCGAAGAATTTCGTGGAATGAAAATACTAACATCAACTCTAAGTTGCAGGTACATCCAGCTGACAAGTCTCAAATAAGACGAAACTCGCGTCTTGGATTCCACTGTTAGCCACTATCCATCTTTGCTTATAGTAAAAAATTATATTCAAACTAAGTAAAGTTTCATAGAATTGAGTGAACAAGAGAGTTAAATGAAGATAAGTGGAAGAAATAGAATTATATATGATAGGCTTAACCAAAATATGAGACCATACATAGTCACGTTAATTCAAAACAATTCCATCCGTTACGAACGTGATTTAGAAATTAATAAACGTGATTTGAACTACTAACTATTTGTAAGTAGTTCAATGTGTCATAATAAGATTCGAGAATTCTACAGTGAACATTGATGTCGTGAAATAAATATTATGATTGAAGTATTTCAATCCAAGGATTAACTTATTTCTTCCACTGGATGTTTAAATCATACAGATAAAATGAAATGGTTATCTAAGTGAATAATCACAACTTATTATTGCCACTAGAAGGTTATTTGGGATTATTTTCCAATAGAACATAATCCAATTCTGGTAGGTCTAGTATAGTTTTTATTTATAACCAGCTAAGATCTTATTTAGTCAATGTATCAATATTTTAATTTGATCGACAAGAGAAAAGTCAATTTTCGACTGTATTTATGTTGTTCGTTCATAGGATTTGTTCAATAATACTACTATCTCTATGAGGATCTAAGAGCATTGTCCTGTATATTTACAGATAAAAAAACTAATGGGGCCAAAGGAAGTCCAATCATTGAACATGAGTCATCCAGTCAAGACAGATTCAATCATGAAGACCAATTCACAAGGCAAATGGAAGCCTATAGAAAATAGCAAACTTTTATCTTTATTATGTCATTAAAGCTCTCAGTGTGCACTTGGAAAAGCTGGAACTATCCATACAACAAGAGTAACTTATTAATTTTATTATCCTACTGCGATCTTAACCTGATTGCTGTATTGACGTTTTATATCCAATCGCTTTATCGATTATTTCATGTCTTTATTGATTAAATTTCATTTCGATCTTGAAAATTTATCTTCTTATTGTTATTAAGTGAAATTCCATAATTAACGATAATTATCTAACTTCTTTGATGTTCTCGATGAATATCCATCCACTCAGCAAATACATTTTCAGTTTCTTGACAAGGAAAAAAAAATTCTGTGTGTGCATTTCTATTGATTTTGGTCTTTTGTTACCATGTTCAGTAATTTCCTATCGTCGTTACAATTAACCAACATATCAGTGGTTTGAAGTTAAGCGCTTGAGCGCGAGGCCCTCAAATGCCCTGGTATGTCCGAGAGTGGGGTGGGTTCGCCCTCCCTCTCGAAATACTCTCACACGGCCACGCGTATATAGCCTCTGCCACGGAAGTCCTACTCACTGTCTTCTCGCACTACGGGTGTTGTTTACGAAAATGAGAGGACGAAAAGCGAATGTCCGGCGCTTTAACCGTTTACCAAACCAATGGTGCACATGGGCTCCAGTATCCTGAAGGGACAAATGGCGTATGAACCGGTTTCTTGGTCACCGGCTTCCATGGGACTGCATCTCCTCACGATGCTCCACTGCCTTGTGGGTTAGACCTTTAGGTCGAAGGCTCGGGGTGTGGCCTCCTAAGAAAACCACCTGGTTCGGTCTGGGCACCCGGTTAGTATCACAGCCCACACACAAATATAATGAAAATGATATTCTGAACGCGAGAACGTAGGTCCTGGGTTTCAATCCCGCGAGCGAAAACATAGATGCTAAATACTCACCAGTCCCATACTAGGACGAAACGGCCGTCCAGTGCTTCCAGGTTCTCCATGATGGTCTAGCTTTAATTGACTTATGAATTCAACTATTAAATTATTTCGATCTCCACAAAAAACTATTCTAATAATATCGATTGTCATTGTGAAAAATGTACTTACAACTGATTGATCAATGAGCAGTGGCCAATTCCCTATGTATCTACCTATTTAGTGTTGATCGAATCCTGTCGACCGATTTGAAGTATGGGCATGAATCTGATGTCCTGAAGATTGCAGCTACGCTTTTCTGACAAGTCTCAATTAACATTAAAATTAGATCTAGGGCTTCCTCCTGACTACCTCCAACAAAGTATGACACGAATAAGCGATCAGAAAAAATACACACATATAAACCATCAGTGATGCATATCACATTCCAGGGAAAGGTAATCTATTTCTTGGGTAATTTCTGATTAGTTGGATACAATCATACATACGAGCCGATTCGGTTGATCAATAAGCTTCCTTACTCAATCAAGTAACCGGTAGGATTCGTTTATAGGAAGATCATATATCATCATCATCATCAACTCTAAGATACCACACTTTATAATAATCTAACATCAAAATAGTGTATTTCATTATGATTGTAAAGTGTTGC